TAATCGGCAACGCTTTCGCGGCCACAAGGGCTACTAAAAACCCAGCACAGTGTCTCCGCAAACTTTAAACTTATTTTATTTGTTACTTAGCGTTTACTAAATACAACACGAATTAGACACAAACTGTCCAACTTAATTGCGGCGTCGACGCACGCGCGAAATGCGCCAAGCATTTGGCTCCTCGTATTTGTTGTAGAGCGGCTCCAGTCGTTGGTTTTTCTTGAACTTGCTGAGCTTGGTGGGATCCGAGAAGCGGAAGAAAGATGGCGCAAATTCCACCAGCCATTTGGGATCAATTGTGGTTACCTCGCGCATATACTCCTTTGTCGTCTGCACCAGCTCATGGTAGATGACCCACTCGGGCTGGCGATTGAACAGCGCGCTCGATGGATGTATATAGACCACTTGGGAGTCGACGAGGGTGCGATAGCCCTCTTGCGGATCCTTTTTGGCCGCATTCCGAAAGAAGCCCGAGCAGACGGCCTTCTGTATGCGCACCGAGTTCTTACCCGCAGACACCACGTCCAGCTTGTGGCGATCCATGATGCCCAGCAGCTGTTTGCGCACATCTTGCGAACGTTTCAGCGTTCGGATTTGCACAAAGTTTTCGTAGCACCAGGCATTCGAGAATTTGTTGTTCTTCCAGCTGTTGTAAACGGCCAGCAGCGTCAAATGGTCACCTGCAGGGATAATAATTAAATTAGTAAAAGTTAACATTGTAAAAGGGTTGCACCTTTCCCACAAGGGTAGAAAATTGTTCTTCATTCGACCCGCTTTCAAAGTTATTTTTGAAAATGTATTCACTTATTGTCAAATCCACCCAAATAGGTTGAAAGTGAGAGCTTACCTTCCGCCTGGTTAAACTTGGCCTTCTTTTGATCGGCCAGCGCTTGCTTGTCCTTGGGCCTGTAGAACACGTTCTGCACGCTGAGCATGGACACAATTGTTAGGATCTCGTCAGAGCATTGCAGCGCCACGGACATGATGAGCATTTTGGATAGATTTGGCTCCAGCGGAAACTCGGCCATCCGGCGACCGAGACGCGTCAGCAAACCCTCATCATCTAGCGCGGAGAGCGAGTGCAGCTGCTCCAAAGCCATGACCAGCGACTCCACTGGCGGCGCATCCATGAAATCAAAGTGCAGCAAATCGTTGATGCCCATGGTCTTCAACTGGAGCACTGTGGTGGCCAGATTGGTACGCTGGATCTCCGGCACTGGCGTTGGCAGCATCTCGTCCCGATATGCTCGCTCCGTGTAGAGGCGATAGCATTTGCCGGGTCCAGTGCGGCCCGCTCGGCCGGCACGCTGCTTGGCGGCTGCCTGCGAAATGGGCGTGACCACCAGCGAGTCCATGCCCGTCTTGGAATTGTAGACCTTCTGTTTTACAAAGCCGGGATCAACCACATAGAAGATGCCATCAATTGTAAGCGATGTTTCCGCTATATTTGTGGCAATCACCACTTTGCGACTGCCGGCGGGCGCTGGATCAAAGATGCGAGTCTGCATCTCAGAGGGCAGTGCCGAGTACACGGGCAATATGATCAGCTCCGGCACATCTGGTCCCAGGCTCTTCATGCGCTCGTAGAGTATCTCGCAGGCGGTGTCAATCTCCTCCTGACCCGTTAGGAACAGCAGTATGTCTCCTGGAGGTTCACGCAAATGGATTTGCATGACAGTTATCAGCGAGGCATCCAAATAGTCTGTCTCCGGCTCCTTAGTGTACAGCACCTCCACAGGAAACGTGCGTCCGGGTATTGTAAAAATGGGCGCCTCGAAGAAGTACTGCGAAAACTTGACCGCATCCAGCGTTGCCGAGGTGACAATTAGCTTCAGTTCCGGCCGCTTTTGCACGGCGGTCTTTAGTAGACCGAAGAGCACATCCGTGTGTATAGTGCGCTCGTGCGCCTCGTCCAACATGATGACCGAGTAGGTCTTCAGCTCCGCCTCCATGAGGCACTCGCGCAACAACATGCCGTCTGTCATGTACTTGATGACCGTCTCAGGACTGGTGCAATCCTCGAAACGTATCGTATAGCCCACCTCCTGGCCAAGGCGACAACCGTACTCCTCAGCCACACGCTTTGCCACGGACATGGCAGCCACACGACGCGGCTGCGTGCAGCCAATCTTGCCCCGTGCTGTAAATCCGCATTCGCCCAAATACTGGGTAATCTGTGTGGTCTTCCCAGAGCCCGTTTCGCCAATGACAATCAGTATCTGGTTGTCCGCAACGGCCTTTATGAGATCGTCGCGCAGCTTGTAAATGGGCAGCGATTGACGCTGCTCGACGAGCGTCAGATCCGTTTTCTTGCCGAAGGAGGATTTCTTGCCGCCAATGACATGCTTCTTCCATTCGGGCACCTCCTGGGGTGCGGCGCCCATGCCGCGCATATTGGCCGCCAGATGGCGTGAGCTGTCATCCTCGGGCAGTGGATCGATCCAGTTCTTGTTGAGGTTGCTGGGCAGGGCTTCCATTTCCTGTTCCCGTTGCAGCATTTTCTGCTCGCGTCGCTCCTTGGACAACGCTGACTGCATCATGGCTGCCTGGGCAAGCGATCCATCCGGATTTTTGACTATGCGCACGGGCGACAGATCGTGCAGTGCACGTCCATGGCCGGAGAGGAATGGTGGCTCCTCTTCTACAATTTCTATTTCAATGTCCGCCTCGTCGTCCTCATCCTTCGGCAGTAGGCCCGTCTCCTCATCAAAGTCGGGCATTTCGCTGCGATCCAAAACACCGGAGCTAATCATTTGCTTAATCTCCCACCGCTCCGGACTGGAGATGCGTGTGACGCGCTTGCGGGACTCGTGCTCGTCGCCATCAATGTTGTTGCCCTGCAGATTGAGCATGGAGGATGTGCTGCTGTAGGGTCCATCAGGATTGCGATCACGTAACGATACCGCATCCTCCTCTGGTGCATGCGACAGCGGATTGAGGTCGCGTCCGCTCTCCTGGTCCACTTCCTTCATGGAAAGCGAAACCTTTTGGCCCGTCAGCGACATGACCTTAACCTTGACCGTCTGATTGCGGGCCACCACCTCGGTCACATCGGTGACGCGACCCTCGGCGCGGAGCTGCGAGATGTGCACCAAACCTTCCCAGCGCTTGCGTAGCCCAAACAGCTGCACGAAGCAACCAAATGGCACTATGTTAGCCACCTTGCCGGAATAGATTTTTCCCAGCTCGGGATCATCGCTCATCACAGCTGCCGGTGGCGGCATTTTATCCTGTTGCTGGCGGCTGCTGCGTTCGCGGGAACGAGAACGAGAGCGTCGTCTTCGTTGTTCGTGTCTGTCGTTATGCGGCTCCCGTGAGCTGGAGCGACGCCTGCGACGATCACGATCCCGATCCTCCCGGGATCTGCTCCGCCTGCGTCGACGGTCCTTATCCCGATTGCTATCCCTATCCCGCTCCTTATCCCGATTGCTATCCCTATCCCGCTCCTTATCTCTTTGCCTATCCCTGTCGTGCTCCTTATCTCTTTGCCTTTCCCTGTCCCGCTCCTTATCTCTCTGCTTATCCCTATCCCGCTCCTTGTCACGACTCCGACTGCGCTCTTTGCGTCTAATCCGCTCGCGTGAACTGGATCTTTGCCGCCGCCTGCTCTCTTTGCCATCCCTCTGCTCTTGGCTGTCACCTGGTGCCAAAGCCTCCAGTTCCAGCATGGCCGCATCCACGTCGCTCATTTCGTTCTTTTTCTGTTTGGGCTCTTTGACACCCTGTCCCTCTTTGTCATCATCCTCCTTCGACAGCTTGCTACTGAATTTGTCATTAGGCAAAGCTAACCCGGGAAACATTTTGATTAGCTTCGATTTTTTGTCCCCTTTGCTGTTACTGTCCTGTCCATTCATTGCCTTTGCATCGCCCCCAGCACGACTAGGCCGCATTAAATTAATGATGCGCTGTAAATTCTGCACAAGCGAATCGGGAAATTCAGCGCCATTTTCCAGGAGCGCCTTGCGAAACGCATCGTAGCTGCGATGCTTGTGCTCCAGATCGATGATAAATTCGGCCAGGTCCTTGTCATTGATGCCCAAGTGATTGTCCAGCTCTGTGCAGATTTTCGATACCAGCGACAGGTACTCCAGCTGCTGCAGCTCGTCCATTTTGCAAAATGAACGCAATAAACTGCGACAATAATTCAATAAGTTTATAAAACGGACACAAAACGTTTCGAAAGAAAAGTTAAACAAAATGAGCACGCCAACTAGGGATGAGTTCGTGCAAAACACGATGCGATACCTTTTCTTTTACCAATCGCAGCATAAATGTACCAAAACTAGTACTTGATTAACTCAATGGTACTCTTGTTCAAATACTTTATTTTTAATAGAAATTTGTTTTAATATTGGAAAAAATTAATAAACATTTGGTAATAATTGCTGATAAACATCGTAAATATCTGCCCGTACCTAATCCCGATCATATCGAAAAAGAAATTTATATGCACATTACAGTAACACGACTTGCGCTCATATCAAACATGAACGAAACAGCTGTTTTGCGGACAGTGCTGTAAAACGCCATTAGTGCATAGAGTGGCAACACTTTTGTACTCTTGACATATTTTGAGCTAGCTACGCTCGCTTTGTAATGTTTTGTATTTTGTTTATAAGTTTCAAAATATACGTTTGAGTTCAAGTGAGAAATTGTTTACAAAACGCTTCGGAAATGTCTTCGTTTTTCGAGTGCTTCAACAATTTCGTGCAAAGCGGTGGACATGTTGCACAGAATGTCGCCCATGAAGAAAGCGAACAGCATCATCCGCCGAATAATACTAATATGCCGCCTGCAACGCCTACACCCAGTGATACAGTAAGTAGATAGATTTATTATAAAACTGTAATTTCATAATACAGCGCGGATGTTGCGTTGTTGTTAAATATATGGTAGCGAAATTGCTTAGCTTAGGGGGCAATTGCTAGCAGTGTTTGGAGTTGCCAGACATGCGCACAGTTACATACACTTTTAATCGTACCAGCCTGGCAACGCCCAAAGCACACGCCATGTTTTAATTGCAAAGACGCAGGAACTAATTTGTTGAGGAAAACTTAGAAAACACAGGAATTAAAAAAAAATTAACAATATCGCGACATCGATTAAAATTTGATTCTGAATAGAAAAGTGCTAATAGTTTGTGTATATTGAAAAACACCGCCAAGGTCGCTGCAACGCAGCCTAAGAAGAAGAAAACCTGCAGCCAGCGAGTAACCAAATAAAACAAATAATTAAAAAACAAAAAACTACACACAAAATGGTGCCAATGAAGCAAACGAAAAACAATAAAAGCGAAATTATGGTGGTCGAGAAGAAACCAAAGATGCAGTCGGCCAACACAAACACCTCGATTATTACATATAGCCCGAGCAAATTTATTGCCAGGGCTGGCAACCCGTACACAAAAATACAAACCCACACACACACGCACACACATATAGCCAGAGCGTCGGCTCCAGCAGCAGCAGCAACAACGACAGCAACGGCCAAAATACCAACAGCTGGAGCCGCAAACACCTCGTACTATGTGGTTAAGGCGGGCCAGCTGGGTAGCGCCGCGTCCATATTGAGCTCACCACCCAAAGCAGCAGCAGCGGCGGCGGCAGCAGCTGCGGCAGCCGCGTCTGCACCGATTTCAACAGAGAGTGTAATAATACGTCATACGCCATTCTACTCCTCACTTCAGATTCTAAAGCACGCGCACTAATCTGTCCTGCATGAGTCACTCACACTTTAATCCTTACTAGCATCCAACTCCATTTGATCTATTTCTAAATTATCTTGTAATCTTGATTGTCAATTCCTTTCCTTCTAAATATTTGTTGCATTTGTTGCAGTCCAGCACAATTTCGGCACCCAGCGAAACAGCCCCCATGGAGCATACCTATATGCGCGATGCTCCGCGCCCGGACAACACCATAAACAATGGCCTGGCACCGGCACGCACCATTCTCGTGCGCCATGCGCCGCAGTGCCCCACCTGCCACACATATCCAGCTCATGAGGAGTCTGGTGACGCGCAGCAGTCGGCACATATTCCGCCATACGATGAGATTGCGGCAAAGGAGCTGATGAACGAGTGCGCACGCATTGCCAAATATGTGCGAAACAGCAATTCCGACGAGCAGGATTGGCAGGCACGCATTAACCGGTAAGTGTATTAAATATGACTGACTAATTTAATAAAATTATAAACTGGTTCTCTATTCAGAGTTGGCTGGACACATATGCAGGAAACATTGTTTGATAAAGTTGCGACCATATTGGATCAGGATCAATTGGCGCGACTTGCCAACGACAAGCGCCAGAATGAGGCAGTGCATCGGCGGGTGGCCGTTGACAAATCCAGTTCTCGCATGCGGCGCGCCTTGGCCAGCATTGCCTGGGAGCCACGCACCACGCAGTGGCTGCATGCACTGCTCATGGAACAGCTGCCACCTTCGTATATGGCTTCCTATCTAGACATTATACAAACTCTGAAAAGCAAGCTGCCCACACTAATTGATAAAATGCTGTTCAGTCGGCCGCTGAACAATAGCCAAGAACTGCTTGCCCCAGTTATGAAAAAGCGATGGCAACCAGAGATACTGGCCAAGTCGCGACATCTGGCACACAATGCCATAATGGTTGCGGTGCCTAATATGCCCACCAGTGGCCCAGTGCCGGAGCGTATGCAAAATTGGTATCAAGCCTTGGCCAGCATAACACAAATTGTTCAAATCACGCTGCCCAATACGAGTAAGTAGCTTATTGGACGCATCGCCTGGCATATTTTGTTATTATTCTGTAATTCATGCTGCACAGATGATCGCATTGGACGCCAGAATCTGGATCAAGTGGCCGAGACGATTGTCTCGCTGACACGCGTACGCATACACGAGCTACGCACAGAGAATCCCAATCGTGGAATAATTCTGATTGGCTTCAATGCCGGCTCTGCTCTGGCCCTTCAAGTGGCAATGTCGGAGAGCGTTGCTTGCGTCATTTGCATGGGCTTTGCGTACAATACGTTGCGCGGACCGCGCGGTGCTCCGGATGATCGCTTGCTGGATATAAAGGCGCCAATTTTGTTTGTCATCGGTCAGAATGCGGCACGCAGCAGCCAGGAGGAAATGGAGGGTTTGCGGGAGCGCATGCAATCTGAATCCTCGCTGGTCGTCGTGGGCAGTGCGGATGATGCGCTGCGTGTGCCCAAAAGCAAGCGACGCATTGAGGGTGTCACACAAGCCATGGTGGATTCCATGGTGGTGGTAGGTCTTCTACTAAAACATATGATTTTCATTGTGATATATAAGCATTCTCCGCAATTCTTTGCAGGATGAGGTCTACGAGTTTGTTAACAAGACGCTGAGCAATCCGCCGGGTCCGCGCATGCCCACTTCGCTGCTGGGCAGCAATTCGTATCAGCGCCAGCCCAAACAACAGCAGCATATCCTGGCCGATGGCAGTGTCAACAAGGTGCCGCTCGCCTCAGCGCGAAAGCGCAAAGCTCATGACGGGCAGGAGGAGGGCGGCATGCAGGCCACCAAATCCAAAATCGTGCCGCACAGTGAGTAGAATTTTCAACTTTTAATTTCACTAAAATCATTTGATCATCATCTAAACATCATTATTAATAATTTTACCTACCCGTAATCCAACCGTTCTCCTTTTGCATGTTGCCGCACGTTGCACGTTCTCCCCAAACATCCCTCAAAAAAATCATTTTGCACCAATCCACTAATTCCACTAATCAAACAGAAGTGCGCGCTCCCAAATTGCCCAAACCAAAGCCGCCGCGACTCATTGATCCGTTTGCGGTCAAGCGAAAGGGTAAATCCAAAGTGTGAAAGCTGCGACAAAGACCATCGCTGGCTTGTTCCCAATATCAGGGACCGTAACGGTTATGAGTCTTTGCATGTTCAACTTACTACAGTAAAAGCTCTTATAATGGACAACTCACTTTTTGATCCCCTTGAACCAAAGTTCATATAAAAGCGCTCATAATAAGTTAAAGTAATGATTTATTTTTAATTAATACCATTAGGGTCTGATATAGGGAGCTTTCACTGTATTTATGTGCATCATTTTTAGTTATTCATCAAACTAACCATTATGCATGATGTTCGCCTTATTATTATTATAATTTTAACGTTCATACATACTCATGATTTATATTTACGGTCCCTGTCTTAATATGCTGATCATTCCTCCGTTTCATCGACTAACAGTAACCATTTCCACAGTTGGGCGCCCACGCACGCGTCCACTGCCCGGTGGCGTGCCCACTGCGATAAAGCCAAGCATGGCGGAGAAGCATTCGCTGAGCAACGAGGAGATGAACATGTCCATTGAGTCTATCTTGGAGGAAACACTTGAATATGATGATAGCCAGCCGTCAGTGCCTGCGCCAGCTGTTGTGAAGCCAACGCCAAGTATGGTCAAGCCCCCGCCGACCACCGTTTCGCTGTCAACAGGCACCAAGATCAAGATGATACCCTCCAGCCAGTTTGTGCAGTTGAAGGCGCTACCCACGCAGAGCAAACTGGTCAACTACACCATCAGCAAGAACAGCAACAACAGCAGCAGCAGCCCCACAGTGGCGGGCACAACGAGCATTGGCAGTATTGTGAAGACCTTGCCCGCCTCCAGTGGCCAGCAGATCTTTACGCTTAAAACCCCCACGGGCCAAACAACGCAGTTTGTAACTGCTGCTCCCACCGGCGCCGCCAGCTCAACTCCATCCGCGGCCCAGCAAAAGTATACGGTGGTTAAGAATGCCAGCGGCATAACTATGTTGCAAATGACTAAAAATATGCCGGCGCCATCGCCAAGCATAGCTAACAGCATGGATCTATCCAATATCATAGACATGCCCATTGTGTTTGCGGACAACGAGGGCAACTTTGCCGAACAGCAGCAGCAACAGCTACAACAACAACAACAGCAGCAGCAGCAGCTGCAGCTGCAACAAGTGGAACCCATTAAAAATGGTAACAAGATTTGGTATCCATTAAATCAAACGGATTTTTATGTATATTGTTTGCTCTTTCAGCAGCCGCCGGCGCCAGCCCATTGATTATCAGCCAGAAGATCCTAAAGGAGGCCCCCAATACCATCAAGCCCAACAGCATTGTCACCAATAGCAAGGGTATTGTGATAAACAAAGGCATCCAGCAGTTGTTTACCACAACACCAACTACCATAGGGGGTGGCAATAAGCTTGTCTACTTGAATCGCAGCACCATGAAGCCGGTGGGCACAACGACGACAGCGCGTCTGCCAAGCGGCGCCACAGCTCTGCCCATACGTATTGTGAGCAGCCCCAAGCCGCCAACTGCTGGCACGCCCACAACGAGCAGCTCCTTGCTGTTGGATGCGGCGAATGTGAAGACGCTTAATCTGCAGACAATCAAGACAACTGCGGGCACGCCCGTACTAAACCCTGTCACGTCGGGCGCACTGCGTCTGGGCAACAAGACCTATCCGCAGTTTCAGGTCATCAACAGTCCAGTTGTTAACACCACCATAGCAGGCGATGGCAAACAGCCGCTGCGCAATATTTACTTCAAATCTGCGACGGGCCTCAAGCCCGTGCAAATGTTGGCCAATCGGTCGCCGGCCATACCGGCCATAGCGCCGGGCGGCGCTGCAGTGCGTCGCGTGCTAAACATTGGCGCCATGGCCAAGCCAACCACTGTGACAGTTAACGCCCACGCTATCAAGGACTCAAAGATCATCAAAGCAGCGACGACGCCAACAACGACGACGACAGGCACCATAGGAACGCTCACGCAGAGCAAGCCCTTGGAACAGTAGCTGTGGCGCGAGCTTTGCTGAGCATCTTCCTCCCGCGCTGTTTGTTAACTTTACATTAAGATAAAGTACTTGGACTCTAGAATTCTAAAGATATGCCATAAGTTATATTAGTGTAAATAGACCTTGTTGATCTTTAAATACATTTACAGATTTGAATAATTTTATGATCAGCATTTGTTACGTAAACAGTGAAAGCTCTTTTGAGCGGACGCCCAGGCTATTCGTTTTTTATTCGAATAGGAATAAATGTATAGGAAAATCTCTTAACAAATATTAATGTTTGTTTATATTTTAATCAACATTTACTGTATGTATAACATTTTTAGTATCTTTAAAAAAGAAATTTATGAAAACTTTGAGAAAGTTCAATTTACAAATAATTTATTCGTTTGGACAAAGTTTTGGGAATAGATAGGAACCAAATTGGCCAATTAAAGTTGTTCGCTAGCGTACATTATTTCGTGGCCTTGGGTTGTGTTATATAAATATATATTCCAGAGCCAAAACGGGAATAGAAGCTCTATATTGACATATACATATGTGTATATAAATTTTATAATGTACGTAGATATAGCAAATTGTGCAAATTCCTGAGAGTCTCGCTGAAGTTTTCAGTTACTTTCAGCTTAGCTCCCATTGGCTGCGCTGTCGTCGTCGCCGCCGTCAACGTCGCCGCCAGCGTCGCCGTCGGCGTCAGCACAGGAAATGAAGTCGTGAGAAATCCGCAGCGCTATCAAAAATCCGACAAAAGGCCACCAATTCCAGGTAACAATAAATAAAAATAAAATACTTCTACTTGAAAATTTGAATGCGTAAAACGGAATTTAACTAACAATTACAACAAATATATATACATACATATTAATTTGACGGTCAGTTTCTGCGTTACGTAAGCTGCGTTTCACACGCTGCACTGGGTTAGTGCTTGTCAAACTGTAGACAACTAGGAGCATTTTCCTTTTTCGCTGAGCGCTGCATATATTTTTTTATTGTTGGTCTTTGTGAGGAGTCGAAATGGGGTATATTAGTTTCATACATTCGCGTAAAGATATTATTTATTTATTTATTAATGATCGATAAAGACGAGTGTCTAATTATTTAATACATTAACTTATGAAAATGCTAAATGCTTAAAGCCTAATTTTCTAAAAGAATCACCGACCGGGGAATGGTGTATATATGGTTTATATGTTAATTTTTATTTAACCAGACTTCGCAAAAGTCTTAAATATATCGCCTGATAGGAAGTTGGTCTGCTAAGCGAAACTGAGAGGCTGCTCAAGGCGTTCGTTTATTTTTGCATCCTTGAATTAAGTAGGATATATCAGAGTCGGTTGGTCCCTTGCCATTTGTCGATGTCTAAAATTTCATTGGAGTGCAACAAGTGCAACTAAAACAAAAGCTAATGTCAATGTAGTTCTTGTTGTTGTCGCCGACTTTTGGCTTGATCAGCAAATTTTGATTTTGAATGCGCTGCAGGAGAAGGCACAAGCTGAAGGGTTGAGTTGAGTTCTGTTGAGTCTCCGCCATGTGCGCCAATGTATACATGGCCACATATAGATAAGTGGGCTGATATACATATATTTAATTACATTTATGTACAGTACCACAATGTGGAGTTATATTGTGGTGCAGTTGACGGCGACGTCGCTGCCTTTTGGCTTTGCTCTAAATAATCATAACGAGCTCCGAGGGCAGCTTTTAGTAACGCGGCCAAGTTGAACGTGTGTGGAGCGAGTGCCTTAAAACAGAATTAAAGCCAAGGATTCGCAAATCGTAGACGAAGTGTAAAAGTGTTGTCCATAGCGAAACTAACAAAAACTAACAAAAAAAACTTCTTCTGGACTATCTTTGCCTTAGCTTCAAGTCCAAAACTTAGTCAGACATTTTTGGCTTACGCAATTGTAAGACTCGATGCAAACCAATTCCCAGGCTCAGACTAGCCAAATGCAAATCGATTTTGATTTTCAAATGACTTTTGGGCTGCTGTACTTTTTCTCTCATGTTTTTTTTTGGCCATTTGCTGCACCACCTGCGGTTCGAGGCGTTTAATTTGCGCCCATTTGTTGCCGCCGTGGTTCCAGTTGGTGCGGCAACTGTTGCGGCCACTGCCAAGATTTCAACTGCAACTGCAACTCAAATTTCGACTTCGACATGTTCGCAATTTTCAAATTAATTTTTTAACATAATATTTGCAAGCACGCCCGGACAGCCGGGCACATGATATATGTATCTATTCCATGATTGACATCGTATCAGCCTGGCTCTGGCAGCAGGAAGCACTTCATTTCAAGTGATTTATATTGTGGGGCCGTTTTTAAATGCATTCGCATTAGATAGTCAAGCTTAGAGTTTGCTCGATTAATTAAACTAAAGTGAATACAGTGAAAATTCTGCTCCTTTTGTTAGTTCTTCAAGGTTGACATCCTGCTGGTCACTGAAATCGTTTCGATCCGATCTTTTCTGTTAATCAGCTTAAAATTTGAAATTAAATTTCTTACCCTTTAAATTGTGCCGCCCTTTGAACGCATTTTGCAGTCGCTTGGGCAAGTGAATGGCTGATAAGAATGCCAGCGTGTCCCTGCTCTGCCAAACCCACAGATTGCCTGCCCTCATTCTGGGGGAGGGGGGAGCATTTGGGGCACTCTCCCTGCAGCCGGCAAATACTCAATCATTGCCGCATAATCAGATGGTCGCCTGGCAGCGAATGCAGCTATTTGCGTATGAAAAATATTGAGAGTGTCCCCGCACAGCCCCAACCTGCCCCCATCCGTGCACGGGCTATGCGTAGAAATCAGGACATATAGTTGGATTGGGAGGGGCAATTGGGGGAAAGGGGGGCAAAAATGTAAGTGGCATTTGGGTTTCCGTCCACGTTTTTCGCTGCATTTTCACATCATTTGCATTTTATTAAGCTGCGCTCCGATTGGTAGGGGGCAAGGGGGGTGGAAGGGCATTGGGGTTGGGTTTCATGCCGCATTTGTAAAACAAACTATCTGCGATATTGCCAACTGAATAGCCTTTCCCCCTGCTGCTGCCCCTTCGACGGCGCTCTTATTAGTATTTGTGCAAAGGATTTGCGAAAATCTTTAGCAAGGATTCAGGCGCTTTCCACTCATATTAACCAACGAGAAGAGAAAAAAATGACAAAAAAACGATTCGGGAATTGGCCACTACCTCGCAGTCACGTGATCCACAAACGCAGCCGGCTCTGGTGCTTGGGAAAAATGCTATTTTCTTTTGTTTTTCCTGAGCGCCGCAACGTTTTGCGTTGATTTCATATTTCATGTGATGTGACGTAGTGGAACATTCCTGACGTTTGCAGCCACAACGCGAAGTGCTAAATAACCAAAGGTTGACGTGAAAACTCGAAAAAAAGAAGAAAAAAACGCAACGTTGTCACATATGGCGAATAATCAGGACAATGGTGGGAAAGTCCTCTTAGCTGGTGGCTGTCATTGAAAAGATGAGAGTACAATCTACAGTTTGGCAAGTACTGAACCAGTCGAAAGGAAAACCTGAGTAATGTATTAACAATTAGGAAGACATTCACAAGCTAAATTCAATTTGAAATTGATCAAGCAACGAAATACAGTTTGACAAGCATTGAAGCTGACCAGAAAAAAGAAATGAAATTTATCAACAGTTAGGGAATATTTTCAAAGTTGAGAGTAAAAAGATGACATAAAACTCTACAGTTTGACAAGCTTTGAACCATTCCAGAAAAATGAAATGAAATTTATCAGCAATTAGGAATATGTTCAAAATTAAGAGCGAGAAAAGATGAGAGAAACCCATACAGTTTGCCAAGCGCTGAACAAGTCGATATGAAGACTTAAATGACGTAATAATAATTAGAAAAACATTTAAATACTTTAAAGTTAAATTAAATTTTATATTGATCAATTATCAAAATATATAAAACATACAGTTTGACAAGCATTGAAGAACTCTAGGAAATATAAATGAAACGTATAAGCAATAAGGAATATGTTGAAAATTAACAGTAATTTAATCAAACTGATGCCATTCTTTTCCAGGTCACAAATCAAGAAGGTTGCCGGTTCGAATCCTTGTGCAGTGGAAATTCCTAGCCAAAGGCCTCAGAAGCTGAAGCTTATGTTAGCTTAAGGTAATCTTCGCTTTTTAAGGCACTAAAATAATTGTTTCAACTTAAATTTGCCTAGTCAAGAATCACGCGGCCATCTCTAGAGCTCGGTTTCTGCAGTCGTTTGGGAAGCGCTGGCCAAAAAGTTTGACAAGCGCAACAGAGGGGGACGAGGGGCAGAGCAGCAAAAGCTGCGACACCACAAAACCCAAAGCGAGACCAACCTTGAGGCAGCCGCCATGTGCTAAAAATAACAATCAGCAATGTCCCCAAGGATTTGAAATGGAGCAGCAGCCGGGCAGCCGGGCAGAGCGTCAGACTCTGTCGCTCCTGGAATAATATGAATTACAATGTGCTTGGCAGCGCGTCATCATCCGCTTGGCCAGGTACGTGGCTTTCCATCTGCCTCTTATTGTTGTTTTTGTTGTTTCTTATTGTTGTTGTTGCTGTTGTCGAGTTGTTTTTGCGGCTGTTTCTGCTGACAACGCGACAGTTTACAGCTTGGCATCTTGAGTTTTACATAAATTTATTGCTTAATTCCTTAGTTGGCGGCCGCTCAATTTTGCATAATTTGATTCTAACTGATTTCAGATTGTACAGAAACGAGTCCAGCATAATATGTGTCAGGCATGCCTTCAAGTTCAAGTATCTAAAACTCAAGTAAACTTCATCAAATACAAGTACCTTGCATAAATGACAAAATGCGATTAAAAAATTGAGTTCTTATAGAAACAACTCGATTAATTTACGAGATATATTAAGATATTTTAAAAAAAGTAGCCAACATTTAAAATATTTATTTAAGTTCAACTTCAAAATGAAGCCATTTGATTGTTTTTCTGGCAAAGTCCAAAAAAGTAGCCGACATTTTAGTTACTATTTACTATTTAACTAATTAATTATTAATTATTTACGTTCAACTCTTATAACAGCAATTGTTTTTCAGGATATTTTAGAAGTCCAAAAAAGTAGCCAACATTTTAATTAAATTATTCAGTTACATTTCATTCGATTAAAGAACATAAACCGAGTTGAAAGTGAGTTCTTCTGGGCGCAACTTTATTGTTTTATAAGATATCTTATGAGAACTCAAAGTTCATATTCTCCCAACGTTTGAGCTCAATCTAATAACAAATGGACCCGGATTAACAAAGCCTTTAATCCAAAATATAGTTTAAAATTAAAAATAATCCAAAAATCGATAAAAATGTAAATATTAAGTTTTCTTAGTTTTTTTCTGTTTGGAACTGAGTTTGATACAGCCATATGTTGCGCATGTATGTGCCCTATATTAGTTAGGGTATTTAATCTTCGGCACTCTAAGTCAACTTTTCCTACTTGAATATTTTCCATCGCAGGACAAAGCCCATCGTCTGTCTTTTTTCATTAGAATTTATGAAACTTAACCTAAAAGCAGTTCCCATATTTTATGCCCATCATTTTATATATCATCTATTTATAAGTATATATCATCTATTTATATGTATGTGTATGTACCTTTGCCAATCACACTTCACGTTTCGTTTATTCCCCAAATTTAGTTTTTCATTTGTTATGCATCACAGTTTGACAGGCGCTGCCAATTGCTAAATACTGCAGCATTTCCTGTTCAGATTTCTTGATTCTGTTTTCGTCTCCCACAAGTCCAGCCCTCCTCCCCCTGCCCCCCTCCCTCCCTCGCCGACCGCTCCCCTTTGGCGTTCACTTTCGCTCATTTAGCGGCGACCTGCTTCGATATCATTTTTTGTTGTTGTTGTTGTTGTTTTTACTGCTACTTTGGCTTTTATTTATGCAATTTTCACTTTCCTGCAGTTGAGCAAAAAGAAAATGCAAATGCATTTTCATGCAAATGTTGTCTTTTTTTCTGCTTCTTCTTCTTCTGTCGCTGCTGTTGCTGCCAAACATTTCCATTATGTTAAAACGCATGCCACGCCCCCCGCCCGCCCGTCACTCACTGGCATTTGCCGCCTGCCGGCCCGCCTGGCAGCCGGTTTGTCTGGCCCAGCTTTGGGTCTGTCTTAAGTTTCTGGCTCGGCTCGTTAATATAGTAAATCACGAGGTTAGTGAGCCGTGAGCCGTGAGTCGGGCTGTGGATGCCTTACAGTTTGACAGCCATCACACTAGAGCTGTGAGCGTGTCGTGACACGAGCACGAACTGCCTAACATGAAGAAATGTTATAAGATTAGCATACAAATTAAATTAAATAAAAGTTATGTTCATATATTTGGAATTGTGTTTCGTGTTCGTGTTCGTGTCGTGCCGTGCCGTGCCCGAAACATTTGACACGCGCCCATCTCTGACTGTGGGCATCTCTGATGAAGCATTCGCAACGACTTTCACTGCGTCGCCTGCAATCTTCTCGGCTTGGCTGCGCTGTGGTCAATCCCAATTCCAAACCCCATTCCCAGATCCCAGACACATCATAAACTTTTGCAAAAATGTTTCCTCATGATGACGCGGGTGGCCCCCGTTGCCACTTGCTGGTTCCATTTCGTAGGCCTGCAGCTGCGCCTTTTGTGGCACCAAGCACTGCCCCCCCTTCCCTTTCCCACTTGCCCCCCTTGGGCGCACATTCCACCCACCTGATTGTTATTTATTGTCTGTTCGTCTGCTACTTTTGCTCTATCGGACTGGACATTATGAAAGCTGACGAGTGCTTGCCGCTCGGGGGGGACGGGGGGCTGGGAGGCGGGGCATGTATACACACACACACACTCACGCAATGTCTGGCTGCAGCTGCCGGTCCATAAATCGCATAATGAGCTCAACAGTGACTGCCAAACTGTGAGGTGTATTGTTAGTTGGAGCCGTCTAAGAGGCTGCTTACATGCTCGGATAAGCATCGACCCAACAACAACAACAAGCAAGAGCAAGAAGAAGAAGAAGGAAAAAAACATTGTCAGTTGCATCTAGTTAGAGCGCGTTGCCTGTTAGTTGCTGTTGTTGATGTTGCCTCAACCTCGCATCAAATTTGTATTTACATATGTATATGCCCTCGGACAGTGGGCAAAACTAGATCATAAAAAGTTAAAAAAAAAACACGATTGGCCAATTAGCTCATAATTAAGAATTACAAAATTATGGTATAACCAATTAATATCCTTAATTTTCTATCAAAAAATTTAACTTCTGCAAAAAATGCAACTTCCTCGCTGTTACGGCTTGGGCTATGCGTTGTACATCAGTCAGTCAATCATTCAGTTAGCAGAAACACAGGCAACTACTGTAAAAAAAACAACTTTCTAGCTATTACGGTTTGGGCTGTGTTCATCTTAATCAATCAGTCCAACAGCACTATCATCTCAGCCATTACGTTGATTATCAATCAGTCAATCAATCAATCAGCAGAAACAAAGGCAACTAATGTAAGAAATTCACCTGCCTAACTATTGCATCTTGGACTTGACATGTTCATTAATCAGTCAATCATTCAATCAGCACTATCATCCTCACCATTACGTTGAGACTCTATCTATCATCGGCAGCGGCATCCTAGGTTGATCATCAATCAGTCAATCATATAATCAACAGAGATAAAGCAAATAATGTACAAAATTCTGCTTCCTAGCCATAAAGGCTTGTGTTGTGCTTTGTTCATTAACTATTCAAATCAGCTTTATTATTTAAATATATTACGTTAAGCATCAGTCAGTCAATCATTCAATCAGTAGTAATAAATTTATATGCAGATTGTTAAAAGCTTTTCCAGCTTTTCCCACAGTGCGCTGCTTGCCTCACGTGGCTGATTTCACAAAGACGATAGCACCAGGCTGCCCCAACAACAACAACAACAATAGTTGTAGTAGCCGCAAGCGGAGGCATTTTCCTTGGAACAACAAATAAAACAACAAAAATAAACAAGATCTGCCGACTTCGTCTCTCCGTCCCCTTCTTCGTCTCCGTCTCCGTCTGGTGTCTCAGCTGCGTTCTGCTAATTTCAACCTTTTTCCCGAGACGCGTCTTCTGTGAAAAACGAAACGCAGCTCACTTCCACTTCACTGGGTTGCCAAGACCCTCCCCCACCCACCTCCTTCACACGCCAAGACGTCTCAACTGTCCCCCCCCCCCCCCCACAGCTGATCGTCTGGAGACTGAGACTGAGACTGAGTTGATGTCTTGTGCCGTTTACTTTATGGGCGCTTTGGCCACTTGGCCACATTTTGTTTGCTTGTTTAACAACCAGATTAGCAACAACAACAACAACAACAGCAACAAATACAACAACAACTTATTGTACAAGCTCACAACACGCGTCGTCGGCGCCTTTTGACCCGTTCGCAGACATTTTTGTTTATTAGCTCAATTCAGACTATTCATAAATCTGCAAAGGAGATTCAGTTTTACACTAAATGTAGGGTATGCGACAAATAGATGGACTCCATTTCAGAAGTGTAAACCTAAAGTTGCCTTATACATACGTATTTAAGCATGGAGTCTGGGAGTCTGGAAAATCGTATATACTCTTGCCACGATCCTATATACTATGTGTATATATATTCTTGATCCATATTCATTGACTATATCGCCATGTTTCTCTGTTTCAGGAATTGCACGGATGAAGTTTCCCCCTTCAGGCAATTGGTCAAGTATAGAATCATATCTCGAGCATATCTTCTTCCTTGATAGAATTTATCCATTAACCCGCATAATTCGCATTATAGATTTATGCTTTGCCCGGAACATTTTGGGCAGCCGGAAACGGAAATGGACTGAAAGCTTCCTTTTGCTGCATTCCAGTCCAAAGCCGACGAATTGAGTTGCAATCGAATCACAATGTGCATTTGACAGCCAAAAAGAGCCTTTGGCCTATAATCAGGAGCAAGCGCTGATAATTGCACGGTCAATGAACCTGACTGGCGGTTGGATAGGGGTTGTGGGGGGGAGGGTAATTAAGCTCCCCACACCCTTCCCACTGCTGCTATGTGATCCAATAGGGCGTGAAATTTGAAAGCTTTGCGTGGCAAATTCATGTGTGCAAAATTGCAGAGCTGTGCAGAAAGAAGAGGAAGCTGGTCGGTCAAGGGGTTGTGGATGATGAGAAGTAGGAAGGGGGAGGGGAGGGGGGAGGGGGGCTAATAAAACTCATTGCATGCCACGTTGCACATTTTCATAGGTATTTCGTGTCCATTCGTTCGCCCCGCTTGCGTTTGACCCCTGGGTTCAGCTTGTGGCTCACGTTTATGGCAAAAATTTCATTTCCTGCCAAACCAAAAAATGATTTACATAAAAATGAGATTTGGCCCCAAAAACAGGTAAATGTTGTAAATTTTAAAAATCAGAATTTGAGAAAAAACCTTTACGGCTATATACATTTTCTTCTTTCGAGTGGAAGAAAATAATTTTCTATATACATATCAATTAATCTTTTATCTAAAAAAATGTTAAGGTTAATAAACATAAATAAATCAAAAGAAAAATATTTAAAAATTTTGCAAATATTTTTGGTCACTTTTTATCACTTTTGTTGCACATTAAGTTAAAAATTTTCATCTGAGAAAATGATTAGTATTTTATTCAGATTTAATTAACTGCTGTTTGCTAAAAAGCTGAAAAAAAAGTAGAAAATTCAAACGACAGTTATAACGGGCATTTTGGCGCCCCAAGAAATATGTGAAGAGCATAAACAACAACAACAACAACAGCCCCGCATTTGTGACAAATGTGGCAAATGGTCGGCATCAAATGTTGCCAATTGTGTTTTTGTCGCCGCAACAATAAAAAGCAATTCAAAATAGCCCCCTCCCCACGACGTTAAACAACAGCTGCTGGGGAAAACCTTAAAGGTAATGGAAAAGCGGCCCAAGTGACCCAGAACTTGTTGTAGCTGGGCGCCTGTTGGTCAGATGTGTAAAAAGGGCGAAGGGGGTGGTGTGGGTGTTATGTCCGCAAGATAAAAGCGCGGCGAAGGCAAGCTTAACAGTTATTTTCTTTGACAGACTGTTATGAACATAGCAGGTGTCCACAGCAGAAAAGAGAAAATCGGATTACTAGAATTTTATTGATAACTAACAGGATATAAGAGCTAATAACAGCGGCCGGTTGTAGTAACAAAAATGTTAACAGCTACTCAGATTCAAACAATGGTATTTAACAGCTTAACAGAAGTGAGCATAAACGAATTGCTAAAAGTAGAGAGAGTAATATAGCGTATGTAAATAAATAACACTCATGAGACTTTAACAGAGTATAAAATTAAATGTAAGCACGCTCGTATGGTGTGATTTGGTATTTTTTTTAGCGAACCCCATGTGGTGAGAATGTACCAAAATCGCAAGTTTGTATTATACTATATTACCCTCGATATATCCATGGTTTTCATTAAATATATGTTTAATAAATAATATATATATATCATAGTTTCGTATTTTTCACTGTCGAAGTAACCAAAAATCCAATACAAAGGTAATGCAAATGTACATAGCTAAATAGGTACGATTATGATAGACAAAGAAATTAAGCTTAACATAATTGATATTTTCCATTTAAATTAATGACAAATTAGGAACCATTAAAAATGTTAATAGTACCTTTTTCCTAAAAAATGGTACAAATTTTGTGTGGCGCCCGTGGCAATGTTGCTTGAAGAATATATCGGCGGGCCACCACAAGTTATCGGATAACATTATTGGTTGCGCATCATAATAAAAACTAATTTACGCAAATATTGCATTTAAAGCAGATTTATTTGCAGTAAATTTCATTTAAAGCATGGAGGACGTTAAGAAGAAAAAATATGCAATTGTATTTCGTTGCCCGGTGCCGAAGTGCTCCTATTCCAGCAAACGGCTGTACAACCTGCAGCGCCACGAGAAGACGCACGGCAAGGAGCACTGGCGCTCGAAGAGATTTCCATGTCCCTGCTGCGCCTATGCGGCCGCCACGCGGGCACATCTGAAGCGGCACATGGGCAACAAGCATCCGACGGAGGATATTTCCAACCATGATCTAACTGTACTTGCCTACGAGGACTTTGAAACGCCGGCGGAAAAGCAAATGAAGTCGTCGCCAACGGAGCAAATTAAGGATCCAAATGAAGAGCCAAAGAGCACGCCTCAGTCACAGTCGAAAGAGGCGCCACTGCTTCTCGAGGGCCCAGTGACCGTGCTGCAATTGGTGACGCCCTTAAGCCCGCAGTCGAGGCCCCAGCCGGGTGAGGTGTACTGTAATGTATCTCTCGAGGGCGAAGCCTTTCGCCTGATCCCAGTCGAATTTTTGCCGGTGGAAGCGGCAACGCAAGAGCTCTAACACACCCGCACGCACACAGAAACAGCGAAAGCCACACGATGACCCACCCAGCGGGTGTTGCAATCGATCCTCACATGTAAGAACCAAATGCTTCTGTTCCCCAGCATATGCCCTTGCAGAGGTTACTTTGAATGTGCCATGACACTTTATCTCTTAGAATTCTTCTTTCTAATAGAATCTTCCTTTCAGTTCTCCGTAATCAGCGGCGTCCGGCATTTGTGTAGATGCATTTAGAAGAATCACGGAAGTCTTACAATGCAGGGAAATGAAATATATTCAGTTTGTGGGTGAGAAAAGGTTTTGCAATGCCGGAAAATGTGCAGTTGAGTGATGGAATGCCAAATACAGTGAAAGCTGCCTAGTATGGACACCTAGGGAAAGGTCTTGTTGAACATCTTTAACAACATTTTATTCTTATGAGTGCTAAGGATAAGTCAAAACTTGTTTTTAAAAACTTTTTTGCGCAAAACATTAGCGAATTATCGAATGCTTCAAGTTGTTCTGGTGCTCTTTTATTTTTAACTCCATTTACAAACCTAAAAGATAAGATAAAAGACTCGAATTGTTAAAACTATAAAACTATAGGACAGGTGCGCACAAGGGAGCTTTCACTGTACTTGGTGTTCCTTCAATCCAAGCGGATCTCATCTTGACACAAATGCTGGGTTCGAGGGAAGATTTAAAGCCTTAAATTATGGTAGAGTATGAGGAAAGCAATACTAAATAGAATATTTCTTGAAGCGAAAGTGAACACAGTTATTGTCAGGAATAGAAAATATTTTAATAATTACAATTTAAGCGAAAGAAAATTATTTTCCATTTTCAAAGTGGCAAATGCAAAGTTTTATTCGACAATTAATTTTACAGACTGTTTGTAAATTAATAAGTAAAACTCATAAATTATTAATCGAAGAGTAAACTTTTCGACAACAGCAAATAATGTTTTTAAAATATAATATTCTTTAATTTATTGTAAGACACATTTATAAAAAAAAAACATATTTTGATATCAACTCATTGAAATGTAGTTTTTAAAATATATTTAACGGGCACCTCGTAAATGTGCCTTTGTATATATAAAATACTAGTTAGCTTAACACATTTAAGAATGTATTTAATAAATTGTATTGAGCACAATATATTTTAATGGGTTGAAGACAACAAAATAAATATTTAAATATAACGACGACATTTAGAGTCAGCAGCCGATTAACAGAAATGTTAACTGACACTCGCTCCGGCACGTTAATAACAAATAGAGCGCGCGTCTAAGAGAGTGACGCGACGCTGTTACTGCCACTGTTAAGCCAAGCCATTTTGAGTATAGCAGTGGCACTTTGAACCGCCGATATAAGAGCAACGTTTAGTCTGCAAACAACTTCGACTTGGGACGGTTGGTATTTGCGTGTCGCGGCTATGTAAGCGGCTAAAAATCGAGTGCGAGTGAAACGGCAATAGAAAAAGAAGTGTTTCGTGTGGGAGTGCAAAAGAGAAGCATATCTAAAACGGAATAACGGTGCATACGCATGCCAACCATATAGAAAAATAAAACCGCCGAGTGCAACTGAAGCGCATTTGTTGCAATGCGAATCAATTTTAATCAATTTTTGAATTGTTGTCAAATGCAGCAGCAGCAGCAGCCAAAACCAAATACAAAGTGAAGTGCAAAAACAAAAACCGGTTCGCCTCTGCAGCAGCAAAAACAACAACAGCAGCAAGAAACCAAAAGCAAAAGCAAGAGCAAAGCAAAGGAAGGCAAATCCAAAGGCAGCAAAAGAATTTTGGTTGCTCTCTGCGTGTGTGTGAGTGTGTGCGTGTGCGTACGTGTGTGTCCGTTTGTGTTTCAGTGTGTTTGCGTCCAAGGCAGAAAACGCAGCAGGAAAAGGCAGTTGGAATTTGTTGTTGCCGCTGCCGGCTCCGTTGCTGCTGCGATTTGTTTTTGGCCCAGGCGAAGAATTTGTATTTGTATAGCCAAAGCAAACCTGTTCCCCTGCAGCAGCAGCCAACAACAACAAAAACAACAACAACAACAACGACAATAATAGCAAAACAAAACAAGCGAAAAAAGTGGCACAAGTGAAAATTCCTGCGTTGCGAGTGTATTTGTGTCTGTGTGTGTTGTCTTTTTTTTGACAGTCTTGGCCAAAAGTGAAAATCAATTTGCTGAGTGTGCGCGGCCCAGCGAGCGAGAGAGAGCGAGCGCGAGAGAACGCACACTGTTTCGTCCTTTTGGTCCAAAAATACCAGAAAGCAACCAGGCGAGAACGAAAACTTGACGAATATCTACTGAACGCCGATAAAAAGAGCAACAACAAAAACAATAACAACACAACGAAGAGCATATCAAAGCAAAAAGTAAACAATCTGTGCAAAATAAAAAGAAAACGAGAACAACAAAAAGCAGCAACAACAACTAAGCAAAAGGTCAGTATTCCAGCAGAGCCTAAATGATATAAAATATTCCATATATTTCAACGAATAACATGTGTGTGAGCGAGCAGAATTGGAAAGACTTTATAATAATGTATTCCCATTATTAAGCCACGGATCATTCATGTTATACCATTTGCGGTTTTATCGCACCCTACAACAACTTTTTACAGCTCTTCAGTTGTGACCTTCGCTTGTGATTTTATGGCGCCGGCAGAAAAACAAAAAAATTGCGATAGAAGCTGTTCTTATCAGAACTTTTAATTGATAGCGAAAAATAATAGTTATTCGATTTGAAAGTAAAGTCAAATCTCGGTAAAGTGGACAACTGCGATTTTGGGTTAACTAAAACAAAATTGTTTGAAGAGCCTTCAGTTTTTGATCTTTGTTATGAAATGATTTGGCCTTAACCGAACCCCGCTACCCGCTACCCGCTCCCCGCTCCGCCCCCGCTGTTTAGCTTGCATAACTGCGATATTGAAAATGTTGCGTGTTTGCTCGTAATATTTGACTTTTTAAATGAGTTATTTTTTATTTATTTTTTTGTTTTTTTTTATCAGATTTTAAAACCCCAATTAACTATTTTTTACACATGTGCTCGGGTCACGTAACGCTCGTCGCAGCCTCGTTGAGGAATTTTCATCTGTTTTACACATCACGTACAGCTGCGACTCACATTTGATCAGCTCGAATCAGATAATAAATATATAGTTCATATTTTTCATAGACATGGGTTTATTTTCTTTTTTTCTAGTTTTTTACTGACGGCAACTTGAAGTTCACTTCAAGCGTTTGTCACAATTTGACAGCCATTTTAGCTGCCCCACAAATTGACATTATTTTTGTGGTCAACTTTAATTTCTGATCATTTCACCAAATTTGCATAAATTGATTATTTAAATTGCAGACAGAAAAAAAAACAACGTTGACTTTTATGGCAAAAAACTCGCAGAAACAGCAATTTTTATTTATTTAATGAGCAAAAATTGTCGGCCGTAGGCGGCAGTCACAGATCTCCGATTTGGACTCAAATTTGTTGGTCAGATTTTTTTTTTGCTGCTGCCGATTTTTGTGTCTTACAAATTTGAGGCAATTTTCGGCGCTGCTTTTTTTTGGGGTCAATTAAATTAGACGACGCGAAGTCGTTGAAATAGCTTGATTTGATTTGGAATTTATATAACGGTATATCGATTTAAAATGTTGCCCAGACTTTTCATTTCTTGGAAAACCAACCAACCAACCAAGGTCCCAATATCCCAACGCATCCTTTATTATATTTCAAGCAAGTCTTGAAACTATGAATCTGGCACTCGTTCAGTTTCTTCTTAAGATCTTTATTTATGTCCTCTTTTCTCTTCTTAATCCTTCTTTGCCGTTTTTCAATGTTATATCCTTTCGGCGCATTATTATCCATAATTTTTTTATTGCCCGATGCTTAAGTTTTCGCGGCTTTCAGCTGCTTTTGTGCCATTTTTTTTATGGCCGTTGCCTTTCGGGCTAATCAGACTTGAGTTTTATTTTCTAAAGGAGAAATTCTTAAGCGCGTTGCATTCATCAGGCAAGCAAAAGTTTTGCAGTGAAAAGTTCTGCTTGTTCGAGTTTCCACTTTCTCACTCATAAAATCAAGGAAAAAGAGAACGCCCATAATGCGTACACACACATAGGCATAAACACACACACACACACACCTACATACATACACAGCAGCCCGGAGAAACAACAACAAACAAAAGGAAAATCGATTTAAAACAGATGATTTGACAACAGCCGCCTTTCAGTTATGTATCCGTATCTTTTGCTAGCTGAACGCCCGGGGTGGAGGGACGGGTGAAGGGACGGTAGGGCTCGCGGGCTGAGACATATTTCACAGTCAGTTAAGATATTCGCACAGGGCGAGGGTTTACTGTGCCCGCTCAGCCAAGGGCAGAGCCCAACGAACGTCCCTCAGTTGTCCTTCCGCCAGTTTTCTCCGCTTTCCCCGCCCCGCCCATTTGCTGTGTGCCAAATTTTTGCTCAGCTTTCAGCCAACTTTCAACAGCTGTTGCCCGGGCCAAGGGCCTCGGCTTGGAGTGGGCGTGGCTGGTGTCTTGTCATTAACACGAGCTGGAACGAGCAGCGTGGCCTGATGCGCATTTAATGAGCAGATGATTAGCATTTTTCGGGCAAATCCTTGAAGTAGTTTCGCATTCCGCAGTCCGCATAAATCCTGCCCCGCTGCAAGTTAATTGAACTGTCCGAGCCTTTAGTTTATTGGCCTTCCATTTGTTAATAGTTCCTTGGAACGGCGCCTGTTGCCAGCTGCTGCACTGATAGCCGCGATAAGAACAGGCCACGTGCCACGTCAACGATTTATATTCCGTGTGGTTAAGCTGGAGCCGCGGGCGGGCTTTCCCCTTTGCCACCTGGCCATCCTCATCCTTGAGCGCTCTTAAGCGCTCCAAATTGATGATGCTCACGCAAAAAGATGAGCTGATTTATGAACCGGAGAACGAAAGGAGCTGATAAAAATGGCAATCCGTTTAAAGGATATGTTACAGGGGAGCATTCTCATATAATCTTTGTATATTGCAATTGGGAAGGAAGGAGGCATCCCCCAATCCATAAAGCATAAACTTTCGTAATGCTGAGAGTTCCAGGGTATCTTCTAGCCGACACTCTGTCCTACTCTATTACTGCTCAGCGCTGCTGGGCTCTTTTCAAGCTAACAATTTCGGCTTTGCTTTGAGTCGGCTTTGCTATTGTGCGTGCAATAAAAGGCAATTATATTATATCCCAAAAACTTTGGCAAATCCTTGAACTAATTTCTGTCTCACTCACACGCACTTACTCAGGTAAAGGCCTGAAACAATACAAATGAAAATAAACGGAAACGTGGAAAGCCATCAGGTTCCTTTCTCTCTTTCTCTCTCTCTCTCTCGCTGCGTACAAATCAAAGTTCGAACTATTAAGTCCACAATGCCGAGGCCTCCAACCACAGAGCCAATCCTCCCTCCGCCCCGCCGTCTGATCCAGTTGCCCACATGCATCCTGTCCGACGCAGCAAATGAAATTAACTTGTCGCCCCTCGCTCCTCTCTCCCGTTAGCTGGTTTTGCAGGGAAATGCCTGTGATTTCAATGCGCCCTGCATAATGCAATTAAAAAACATTTTCTTTTGTTTTGCTTTTCCTTTTTCTTCCTCTTTTTTGCCTCTTTGTTCGCTTTGCCAACGCAACAAGAAAAATCAATAAGGGAAGCATGTGAAAAAGACAACAAAGAAACGAACATAATATGCAGCAACAAGAACAACTAAACTAACAACAACTGCTACTAGGGCTCTGCTAATACAAGCTAAGATCGCCTGTAATATACCCTGTTCCGATAGTTAACTGGGGTTTTGAGAGTCGGCTAGAGATCAAATAACATATTTCTTGTTTTTTCCTATTTCCTAGTTTCTTTAATAATAAGGTAAATTTAGATTAAGATTTGCCAAACGGGCAAATAAAACACCTCCGTCGGTCGGTGATGCTATTAGAAAATTGTGTATTCTAATTAGGCTTTTAGCACTTAATTTTAATAATTTGATGTATTGAATAATTAGGAACACACTCGTTTTTGTTGATAACTAACTAAATAAATGATCAAGTATAAAATTATTGATATATGTGGATAAATTTCATTTACTTAAAAATTAGTTTTCCTTCCATTTTCTGCTAGTGCTCAGTCTTTCCTCAGTCAATCAGCCGTACAGCAAGATATGTAGACAGATACCCTCTTCTATTTACAAGTCGCAGCCAACGTACCTCTTTCAAACTACAAGGGCGAGGTATTAAATCAATCTGGCACAAGGATAATAATAAACAGAGCAGGTTCTCAGTTTGCAAATGTGAAAAGCGGGCGTAATGTGTGGGCGTGGCAAGTGTATACCGCATAAATGATGCACAGAATGAAGCTTTTGCATTATTAATGCCAGATAGAGATGAGGAAAATCGCAACTACGCATCGCATTGTTGCACAGAGCAGCAACAAGAAACGACCTTCGCTGATGCTTCAAATCCAGTTCCAATTCCATAATTTATATCGTTTTTATGCCATATGCATTTCTTATAATTTAACCAGTTAATATCAGCATAGTTTACAGCTGTATAAAGAGAGTATTTTCAACTGTGTTTCCTTAACTTATCTAATATTAAAGTCAACAGAAGTTGCGGCTATAACATTTACAGCCACAAAGCGAACGTCGTAATTAATGTTGCCTTTTGTTGCAGACCGCCGGCGTTTTTGTTAGTTGGTTCTTATACCCCGTACTTTTTAGCAAGGGTTATAGACGGCTTAATAGATTTGTGTACAGAATTCGGGGTAACATATTATTTGTCGGTCCATTTGTCCGGCCGTACGAATGAGTTGTTTTCAGAGACCAAGAGCTAGGGAAATAATGTACGGTATCATTCTCCCTATTCCTTTACATTCTCTGACTCTCTCACACTTATCGCTCTTTTTGTTCACTTACACTCATTCGTTTACTTACTAGTGCGCTCTCTCTCTCTCTCTCTCACTTTCTTTGACTGTCTGTCGCTAAAACAAAGCCTTTCTATACGATTTTCATGACTTCAAGTAGGCGTTAACAGATTCTAATAGGCAAAAGTAGGTTTTCTCGACTAGAATATTCTTCTTAAATACAAACGCCTCGTGTGACATAGTTTTATTATTGTTTTGTACAGAATTGTAGGCCAGTTATCGGTTGCACTGGATGATTCAGAGTGTGTCGATAAGCTGGTTGTGGCACGGCTGCTTCCATTGAAGGAAATCCTTATCGTGCTGGGGTTTTACTTTTGCATTTCGGAGTGCATATACTCTTTATATTATGATGTACAAGTATTGAAGTATTCTGTGTATTTGTTAATAAATCGTATAGTTGTGCGCGGGGGCGGATCACAGTATCCAGAGTTGATGTTGTGGAATTTTTCATGTGCAAATTATTTATTTCTATACTTTATCAAAAAATTGCTGGCAAGAA